ACTTTTATTACTATCAACATTAAATTAAATTTTAATAAAAATAAATTAATTATCAAGGAAAAATTAATTTGAATCAACGACTAACGCCTACCTGACGCATACGTACTAAGGTATTCAACGTTTCTTCATCTGCGTGCCTCACTTGTATTTGTATTGGCCCGGTGACATGCAATGAAATGTCCGAACGATATATCATATGCACATAATATATACAAGTTATACATATATAGAGAGAGAAAGAGAGAGAAAGAGAGAAAAAAAGAGAGAGAAAAAAAATAAAAAATAAAAAAACGAGAACAGAGAAAAAAAGAGCAAGTAGTGAGAACAAAATGTATGTACATGTATGCATACATTTATGTATACTTAACTTATATTTATTTATTTATCTACTCATTCACTTATATAAGTATTCAGGGAATATTATAATATAGGTATCTAACGAATGAGCCCGACCGTACACTCCAAGGTCGTCATCAAATGTGCCCTCCAATGCGGTCAATGTCATTAAACTTCTAAATGTTGTTGCACCTGCTAGGAAAATAATTTTGAAGGCATTTCAACTTCAGCATGATATCATGGTAATTATATTTAACATAGTGACTTTTAAAAACGCAACCTTTTAAATCAAGAATACTAAGGAATAAATTTTTTTTAAATCTTTAATGTATGAAAAAACCCGGACAGCGCTGATTTTTTCAAGCCACCCACACTACCAGGCTCGCATTCGCCAGCATATTCGCCTCCGCGTTTTGAAAAAAAAGTTATTGGCGGTTATAATTTTGGGCGTGAGATTGAAATAGAGTAACACGGCAGACTGCACCACAAAAATCTGCAAACAGCAAATTTTCGAGGAGTTTCAAGAATTTTTAAAACCGCAATGGCGAATGTTGTGCAGTTACAGCGGCTTAAAACCGCAATGCGATCATCCGCAGAAAGCTCTATGCAGGAGAGACACATTTTCACGATAGACTAGAAACAAAAAATTGGCAATAGAGGGAGGAAAGACGAAAGAGGAAATAAAAATAATAAAAAGAGAAAAAGCTTTACGATGCAAATGTCGAATAATAATGCAAATAATAATAAATTAGATCTAAAACAACTAAAAACAGTTACTATGCTAAATTGTCAATTGACTTTTCTAATATTGATCAACGATATATTTTTTTGCACTTTTTGTTTCAAATGTTCAACAAAATTTACGTTTCTTTGTTTTGTATTTATCATGCTTCATAGCCAGAATGTCGCTGCCAACTGTTTGATTCGTATTTACGTTCCAGCCTATTATTACGTTAGAGATGAATGCGTGCATACTGATGTAGGCGTCTCAGCTCTTTCCACTTGGACGCGTGTGTGATGCCTTTTTATTCAAAAAATCAGCAAGTTCAAAATTCATCTGATTAGGCACAAAAAATTCAAAATTTTTTAACAAATGTACATTTATCAAAATATCAAGATACTAAAATACAGTTTCGTTCTTTTTTAGATTTTGGTTTTGGGATTTTATTTGGGATTGGGATTATGTTCACAGAATAATAATTAATATAAAATGATATAAATATTAATATAAAATTATAAAAATATATATTTCATTTAAATTTGCAAATTTGAACTTTCTTATGCAGTGTATTTTCATATATCTCTAATTTGTTTGTTTTTTACTGAACTGTTCCTTCTGTTGGTCTGCTTGTACGCAATTCACGCGTATGCAACAACCACAGCCGGAAAAATTTGATGAAAAAAGTGGAAAATAACAATCTTTAATGTCATTCATACTTTTACATCTACTGGTTTTGCTGTATTACTATTACTATTTTTATGACTTTAAGAATGATAAGATTGTTACGAATGGTATAGTTCTTCCACTGATTAAACGATATTTTGGATCACAAAAATTTCATTTCAATTCTTTGTTATTTCGACAGGTTTTAAAATGTCGCCTGCCATCATTAATTTAAATGTGCGGCCATAATGTGAACGTTTTTTGACACTTTGAAATGGTGACATAAATTATTCACGCAAAGCCGTCATCGTTTCAACCATCACGATATTATATCATGATACCCCCAATGATATTATGAATGGTAATATTATCACCATATTCTTACAGCCACCATCATCTTCATCATCGTCCTTAACTGTACCGCCATCATCGTCACAACCGGAATCGTCGTCGTCGTCATTACTAACAAAAAAATAAATAAATAAAATGAAAAGTCATCATCATAAAGTTTGCATTATCATCATTTTTTCTTTTTTCCTCATTATCATCTTTTATCATCGTTATTTTCACCACCTTCATCATCATCATCATCTTATTCTTCTTCATCACCCTGAATATCTTCATTTTCATCATCATCATCATCATCATCATCTCCACCACAATCTTGATCATCATCATCTGGTTATTTATCCCGACCATCATCGACTCCATCATTATCATCATCTTCTTCTTCAGCATCATCATTACCTTCACCTTCATCTTCGTCTTCATCATTATCATCCTCATCTTCATCCCCATGACAACGAGTTGCGCTCTAACGAATTTTACTTTTTTTATTTCAAGACAAGAATTATATAGTACAATTCAGTCAGTATAATGCAATACAATACATCGAAACACAATGTGATACACAATACCAACGTTACAATAAAATACAATACAATACAATGCAGATTAATTTATTGGCCATATATAGCCATATTCCTGGACATGCACAAATGATTTTCATTGATTTAGCTCCTTCATTCCCTATCTCTCATTTTATTTGTTTATTTTTTCCTTTTTTCTTTCATTCATCTTCTTTCTTTCATTTTCATTGAATAGAAATTGGAAATTATTTGGAAATGGAAATTATTTGCGATTATTTATTAATATTAATTGAAGTTATTTTATTTTTTCATTCCAATTTACGCGAGAAACATCGGAAAACAAAAGCAAAAAAAAACCAACTTTCAATTTTTAGAAGGGTGAAAATGTTTACTTAAAATGAAGATGATAATTTATTTTATTTCATTTTACGATTGCATTATTTACAAAGCGAATTGAATTTGCAAAAGCCCTTTCAAAAATTTGTTTTTGTTACGTTTTTATTTCGTAAAAATGACGTAGAAGAAATTTTACTGAGAAGGAAAATTGCGGCGAGGTTGAGAGATGTTGAATTATTTATAATTGCGTTTTAAGTAACTTTGATCAAATTGAGTTTTCAAAATCAGCAGATTTTTTAAAAATTAAATTGCATCTTTTTGCTAAATAAAATTGCAGATCAAATTAAATATTTTTTGTTAAATAAATTTAAAACTCTAAAAAACTAGTTCTTTGTGATGTGATTAACATTTAGAATTTACATTTCAGCAATGCATTACAAACTGTTTAATGTTACAACATTTTGTAACCGCACAAAACTGCACGACAAAATGCTTCTTTCCACCACAACACTGTCAAGACTGCAGTGCAACATTTGTTCAAGGAGAGGCCCACCATGTACCTGCCTGACTGTGTTTAAAAAATTTTCCGTGCCTTAAGAAACCTCAAACTTTTTCAAGTTACCGTCTAATTTATTTTCAATTATTTGAATCGTCAAGTTTTTCTAGACTATACTCGCCTGTTCGTGGGTTTTACGTACAACTACAACACCATTTCAACTAACGCCTAAATGCTTATGTAGGTAATTTAGCTTATTCCCATTACCTTTATAATCATTTTAGCCGTGGAACTTCTAAAGAGTGAACATTGAAAAGAGAGCAAGCAATACAGTTGATTAAGTACGTACGATTTACGATCATTTCATCCGTAATTATGCCGCTCAGGCGAATACGCCGCAGAGCCGTTTAAAAATCAAGTTACTCAGCTGTAGACAACTTATGTATGAGTGAGTTTCACTGTGTGAGTTTCAAAATTGAACTCTATGTACAAGTAGACGTGATATTAAACGATATTGTACTGTACGCACAGGTAGAGCGTATAACGTACGCAACTTGATAGCCTCTGACTATCGAAGATAGAATTCCAAGTTTATTCGCGCCAAACAAGTACGTGATGGTAGAAGTGACGTGTCGTACCTGAACCAGACGTATCTGAACCAAACTAACTCGCTGACTGTTTTGAGGTCAAGTTTCTCTATGTCGCTATCACATAATTCAACACGCTAATTTCAATGTGTTTTGAAAATCAATTCGAAAATATTTAAATATAACAATTGCAAAATTTCACCACTATGGAAAATTACTTTACAAAAAAATTATAGCAATTTTCATAAAAATCTAATTTATATAATTATTATAAGCATTTTCGTGTAAGCAATATATGTACAAGGATAGGTGAGTCAATTATGCGAACTAGTTAGAACAGTGAATGCAAGCACGTGTGAATGTTCTCTTGTGTTTGTTGGTTAAATTAAACATAAAAAACATCACTTAACTGATGTACAGAAAGAAATAAACTCCTGTTTAGAGCTTTTCTGCCATCAAATGGAAATGAGTTACGGAAGTCCATCGAAAAAATTATTAACCAATAAGTGTAATTAGAATCACTCGAAATCTTTGAATAGACTGATAGACTGACTATAAAGAATAAAACATTTTTAACTTATTAATAACAAAACCATTTCAAATTTTTTATCCCCATTGGAATTTCAATTAACAACAAACAGTTGGAGACAATAATCTAGCACATACATACAAACTATATAGAAAGAACTACAACCAAAAGCGCAATAACGAAGACCATAGTTTAATCAACTTTCCTAAATTGAAACTCCAAAACTATCACAGTACTAGTTCTGTTTCATAACTTAAACAAAAATACACAAAAAATAGTAGGTATACTATACATGTACATCACCACTATTTGATCAACAATTTCTTTATCTTTTAATTAACTCAATTGAATGCCATAATTACAAAACTAAATTGCTTAACTTGTGATTTATTTAAAAAAAGACAATATTTTTTTTGTAAAACTAATATTCTAAGTATGAATATAAAACAACATTTAAATAATATTATAAATATTTATCGAGTCCCTTCTTAATTTCCATCATCATGGTGCCAAACCAGACTCTCTCCCTCTCCATTAAATCCATCATGATGTCAACATGGTCGCAGCCATTCAAAAGTCGAACCTGCAATAATATATTGAAACATTAACATTAACATGACGAGATCTATCTAGTGAGTTGAGGAAAGTACTTTGCTAGTGGCGGTTCAAAAGTTTCAATTTGATAATTTTATGTATTTAACCACATATAACCAGCCTATAATCAACTACAAATAACCAATCTCCAATCAGCCATCTATCTGACCGACCGACCAATCAACAATTCAATCAACCAGACTCAACTAACTAACCACATATCAACCGTACAATCAATCATAACAAACTGACCAGCAATGAATAAACCATCAACCAAGCAATCAATCAATCATCTAACAAACCAGCTAGCCAACCAACCAGCAGCAACAACCAATCCCAACCCACCTGAACCGTCTTATCCTTCCTCAGCGAGAGAGCAGCTCCGAAATTGAGAGACGAATTTACGGGAACAGTGTTATCACAAGTGCCGTGGTACAAATGCATCGGTGGCAACCTGTACATTTACATCATGACATTTATATTTTGTGGTGACAGCAACGACAATGGCAATGAAATTAATGAAAACACGATATGGTGATGACATTCTGACAGCAGTCACAATTACGATAATAATAAATTGGACGGAGACAACAATAACGACTCAATGACAGTGATGATTTTACAATGATGAAGATGGCAATGACCCGACCTGACCTGACATGTTCAGGAAGACTGCTGAGAACAAGGATGGGAGAAAAAATGTGGAACTGTTGAAGATTGTCGTACATAACTCGTGACATGTTGGAGAAGTTCTCTATTCCGTTCAGCGTCTGATATTCGTAATGTTCTTTAATGTCATACACACCGGCCAGACCTGAGGTAAAATGTCAGTGTTGAAGCATGTGACAGTTACAAGACCTCTTTCTAATCAGAATGACTCAATTAATACTATTAAAATGATGTAAAATAGCAATGAATTTTGAATTAGCAATTATGGATAAATAAATGAATATAACAATAATCATACCTATGACGAGTCTAATAGATTTGAGCAGGTTACTATTTTCTGCATTATCATCTCCAGTTTGATGCAGTTTTCGTTGTTGTTCCATCACATCGACTTCTGGTTTCTTCCTCTCATTACCAGCAGGTTGACTCTGACTCACACCACCACTACCACTAATGACAGCAACGACATTGGCCACAGGGACATCCTCATCTTTCTTGCCTACCTTGTTATTTTCATCTCCAACAACAATGAATGATTCGGTTGCAATGCTGGTTGGTAAGTTTGTAGACCTGGAAGCTGGCAGAGATGCACCATTTTCATCGAGACCATACTTACTCACTTTAATCCAATTCTTACCATTCTCCTCACCACTACCATCTTGCTTGGATTCATCCAGTATGACGTCGATGTTTGCTTTGTCGATGATGTCATCATCTTCATCATTGTCGTCATCATTGTGTACGATCACCATGCTGGCTCCAATGACTGACTCCATCATCTGTTGTTCACTTTGTTTAACAGGATTGTCACCATTGTTATCATTTTTATTACCATCATCATTGTTGTTATTATTGTCGTTATTGGTGTTGGTGACATTAACATCTCGACTCCTCCTATCATCATTGAAATGTGTGGCATGAAATGGCATGGGCTCTGGAATTAAATGCACCTTGAACGGGGTGGTATCTGTTAGAAAATTATTCAATTACTGATTCGTCATTGATACTATCAAGTTATTTTTACACCACCATCTAGCATCATCAATACAACTCCCAAACTTGATCTCATTTTCAACATCTCTAATAGCATCTCAATCCAACTCACACACAACCACCACACCTCACCACACCACCATCTTAATCATTCAACTGACCATGGACCGTAGGAAAGTTGGTCTCTTCGAGGTATTCAGGATTGTTGTCCAGGTACTTCCTGCAAAGTTCTCCAATGGTGAGTGTGGCCAAGTGGACACCAGCTGAGTGACCAATCATTACCACCCGATTCTTAGGGCACAAATTTGCTTACAAATTATTTCATTTTAATGCATTTTGTTAGATTGACCATCAGAATTATTTTTATTCATTCCAATATACATTGTGATTCTTATTGACCGACAACATCATTGGCTTAATTGAATAAAAGAATCTATTGGCTGCCATTTCAACATTACCATTTTGTATCATATTTTAACATTACCGCTGTCAATAAAATATTAATTTACACTTCAAGTTCATGAGTGAGTCAATATAAAATATCATTGTTGAAAAATAAACTATTAACAGACAACGGTCTTACTTACTTTATCTCCACCATAGATAATTGCATTGTTTTGAACCCACTGCAGCACATCACTGACATCTTGCACCATGTCATCAACGAAACCCTGCAAATGTGCATTACACAAATTTTAAAATGTAAATAAATGAACAACATATAAGTGACCGTGTTGCAGCAGTTGGTGAATATTTAGATAAGTTTTCAATAGCATCAAATAGTCCTTCATTTAAAATTGCATGCTAACAAGAGTAATAAGTTTAACTATGTTTGATTTAACAAAAAAAACTGCAACTGTTAACATGTAGAAAATTAAAGAAGCATATATAAACATTGGTCATGTATGATGTACAAAATTAAAACAGCAACAAAACAATTATGAAGAAAGATGGACCTACCCTGGGATACAATGTGTAGTTGGGGCAGACAACAATGCAGTTGAAGAGGCTGGCCAGGTTGGAGCAGAGCAGGCCATAAATATTTTTGTCCCCGCTACTCCAACCACCCCCATACAGATATATTATCACTGGTTTCAGTGGTTCAGTGTTGTTGGTTGAAGTGTATCGTGATCTCCCTTTGTAAACATCTAATGAATTTCTGTTTTGACCATATTCTATATCCTTTGGAACAAACCAATAGAGCCTTATGAATTTTATGTAATATTTGAAAACTGAATTTAAAAATTGTTAAGAATGTAATAACTTTTATGAGCCTATCTATGGTTTCATTCCTGTAGAAATCAGTCCAAGCAAAATACAACTTGATGTATTTGAAGTACTTAAGTTCACGAATTAGTGAATAGTTGAAAGCATAAACTCTCTTTGGGTTTAAAGCTCTTAGAAACCTGTTATGTGACTTTGATGGCTTGCCATATATCAGCTCTGCAACAAAAGCTATAGCATAGGGAATAAAGAGAACTGTGGATGTTGCAGCCAATGCAACCCTGAACATTTTTCTCAGCATGTTTCCTTTCTGTTTGGTCAGACAGGTTACCTAGAAATGAAATAATGGATTCAGTTAATTTTTAATATTTATCAAATACATCAAAACTAAAAGTTGAAATATAGTATCAGCCTATGAAGTAATAAAGCTTAACAAAGGATCATGTAACTAAATTAACAATTAACTATTTCTATGATAAATTATATTTTTATTATAAATATATACAAATGACCATCAAATATTCAGATGTGTAATGCAGATATGGCATGTAATGAAGAAAACACACTCAAAAGATCACAACATAACACATTAACCAAGTGATCAAGAATACCAACTTCAGTTCAAACAATTTTTGAATTTTCATTCATTTTATCACTCCCTGCTGTTTGCTTTTACTTTTTTTTATACATTTACTTAATTTAAAAAAAGACAGGCAGTTCAACATTACATTACTGTTGAGTTGAGGATTTATCAATTTATTAGATCATGCCAAAAATCAAAGTTAAAATAAAACACCAACCCAAAAAAAAACTCTCAGTTGTTTTTTATTGCCTGTTCTTTGTAAAATGTAGTAAAACCTTAACTAATAAGTAATAATTAATTATGTGGCTAGCCAATCTTCTAATAATCTAATCCTAATGCTAATACTTGCAATCGCTATGTTAAAATATAGAAGTGAATTTTTACGCTTCAGATTTCAGCAGTATCAGTGACGGCATCATACGAAATCATGATGAGCTGATTGAAAACTTTGGAAGGTCTGGGAAGAAGAACCAACTGATAATCAAAGTGACTGAGAAAAAACAAAAATAAGTTTAAAGAACGCGCCGCATGCCTTGCACGATGGCCATAAGCAAAACTCGTTTTCAAGTTTAAATGATATAAAATGTTAAATAATAATAATTCCAAGTCACCGTTCTTGGCTAAAAAACATGTGAAAATTTTGTCAAAATGAAAAAAAATTCTAGAATTTAATCAAAACCGTGTATGAAGAAGAAGCGGTAGGCAGAAAACTCATTGAGTATGGAAAGCTAATTATTGAAAAATTAAAATTATTTGTTGAAAAAATTTATATGTATTTAATTTAAATAAAATTAAATGTTTTTAATGTTTTAGTAAAAATGGGTGTAAAAAAAATTGGCATGTACATAAAAAAACTCTGTAATGATGAATCTCTGTTTTATTTATTTTTATTTTATTTATTCACAAAACCAGAGGGTTAAAAAGAAACCACTTATCCGGTAAGAAAAATGAAAAAAAAAATGTTCGAAAGATGAATCGTACGTCTATGAATAAAGTAAAAACATAGGATAATAACAGAGATCGATGCACAATGATCTTAATGAATAATGAAAAAGTTTATAGTCAAACATAGATAACTTCATAACTTAAAATATGTACTACTGATATTATAATTGGTAAATGATATGACAGTTTTAGCCAACAGAGTTAGTTAGGCATATATGTAAATATTAAACGTAATTTAACAATAAATCACATTATAATTAAAAATCTATTTAAATCAATAGTGAGTAAATGATTTTTGAAGACAGCAAGTGAAGTTGAAGACACTACGTCTGCCGGCAATGCATTCCACACTCGGATAATCCGGATACAGTAGAAATATTTTGTTACGTTGTCTCCAGCGTTGAAATCTTGCAGTCGACATGGGTGACCGCGAGTTGACAGATAATGTGAAGGGATGAAAAAACCATTTAAATCTGTGTTGATGAGGTTGTGTAGTATTTTGTACAGCAAGCACAAATCAAGAACCAATCTACGCCGCTCAAGTGTTTGTAGTCCTACCGCTTGCAATCTAGACAAATATGGAAGATGACGAATTGACGGAATGAATTTGGTAAATCTTCTCTGAACATTTTCAATCTTGGTTATTTGATATTTGTAGTGCGGATTCCATAGCGGTGAGCAGTATTCAAGTAGAGGACGTACATAACTGCAAAAAGCCTTCACAAGTAGATCCTTATTCTTAGATGTGAAATATTTGACGATTAAGCGAGCGCGGGAAGAAGCCTTGTGAGTGATGTTGTTGATATGCGCATTAAAGTTGAATTTGCTGTCCACTATCACACCAAGATCTCTGAAGTCATTTGTACAACTGAGAAGATGTTGATCTATATAATATTGATGTGGAACTAATGTTGATCTCGAAGATGGAAGAAATGAGCAATGACAGCATTTACTCGGAGAGAGTGGCAACTGCCATTTGATGCTCCAAGCTGTTATATCGTTGATGGCCTGTTGAAGTTGAACTGAGTTGGATGAACGGCTGTATAATTTAATATCGTCAGCGAATAGCAAACTTGAAACTGAAATAGATGAAATGCGTTCAACAATGTCGTTAATCAATCAATCAATCAATCAATCAATTAGCTTATAAAGCGCTATTTCCGCGATGTTCAACAGCGCTCCTCAATGAATTTTGAAAACAGATGGGTCTTGAGATCCGCTCTGAACTTCGCAAGTGATGGAGAAATAGTTAGAGAAGTAGGTAGAGAGTTCCAGAGAAAAGGACCAGAAAAAGCAAAAGCAGATTTGGCAAAAGAGTGTTTAACACGAGTTAAGAAAAAGCGAGAAGAAGAAGACGATCGTAAACCGGGGCGTTTAGGTTCAATTAATATATCTGATA